AAGAAGAAGAAGACATGTTTATTTTGGATCACTGTTTCAGAGGTTTCAGTCTAAGATCAGTTGGCCTTGTTGCTTTTGGGCTTGTGGCCAGGCAGTACACATGTAGGGAGAGTATGGTAGAACAAAGCCATTTACCTCATGGTAATGTAGTGAAAGGGAGACAGAAAGAAGAGACAAAGGGGCACTCCACCATTAAACCACATCCCCAGCCTTATTTTCTATTTTATTTAGAGACAGGATCTCACTGAGTTGCTTAGCGTCTCATTTCTGCTAAGGCTGATTTTGAACTCACAATCCTCCTGCCTCAGCCTCCCAAGCTCTTGGGATTACAGGCGAGCACCAACCTCACCCGACTAGTGGGTTCCCTTTTAAGGAATCAGTGTGCTGCCGTTTTCATTGTTGAGTCCTGCACTGTCCACATTTCTTTTTTGTGTGACCATTCAATTTCTATAGAAAAAGGATAATCCATTTCCTACAGCCAAATGGTATGGAACCAAAAGCTTCACTGCTGATCCTCTGAGGAGAGGATGAAGAAAATGACTGAGGTCCCCACAGTGTCATGGATATGGAAGAAATACTCAACTGCCCAGTTCTTCAGCATTGAAACAATGCTTTTGTTTTGTTCAAGTCTGGCCTTCCTGGTACTTGGTATCTCCAAATACCCAGCTGTGAGCCAGTTGGTTTTCTTTCTCTTCCACTGTGGACTCCTCTCTTCCCCCACCATTTAAAATTCCTTAGGTTGTTCTAGGGAGGTTTGGGGAAAGAGGGGAGGCAGGTGTGTGGAAAGCGTGTGAGAAATCTGCCATTTTTAACTGGAAGTTTTAAATAGACCGATTATCATTAAGAATCAGAGGAGCTGGGTATAGTAAAGCAGGCCTGCAATCCCAGCAGCTTGGGAGACTAGGACTCCGGATTACAAATTCAAGGACAATCTTGCCAATTTATTGAAGCCCTAAGCAACTTAGCGAAATCCTGTCTCAAAATAAAAGATAAAAAGGATTGGGGATGTGGCTCACTGGCTAAACACCCCAGTGTCCAATTCCTGGTGCCAAAAAAAAAAAAAAAAAAAAAAAAGTTAAAGGCTTTTTCTGGGAGGGAGCTCAGAGGGTACACAGAAGGCTGAGCATGCCGGGCAGCTTTGAGGCGCTCCCTAGGCAGAGCTCAGGATGGTGCAATCCAAGGTCTGCAGAGAGGAGGACACCAGGAAGGCTGGAGCACCCAAATGACAGTCATCCCTTTGCTCTGGGTAGTCCTCCTTGGACCAGCCATCATACATAAAATCAATTAATATCCACTTTTTCTAAACTAAGCTTGAGGATCAAAAAGCCATCAAGTCTCTTTCTATCCAACTTGTTCAACATTCTCATCACATTTTGCTGATTTTCTCTCATTATTACGAAGCGTCAGAAGGAACCCCGGGTCACTTCAATTTTTTTCTGAGATCTAGGTTAGTAAGCCAGATCTTGTATAGACACACTTTCTGTATTTATATACACACACAAATAAATATTTGCTGACATGGCAAAAAAATTTCACCAAAAATATCCCATGGTCAGAAGGACCTGCCACTGTTGTCCAGCGTATATTTCTGGGCCATTACAGTTAGGAAGAGACTTTGAATGTCCTCCCTACCCTGAAAAAAAAAACACTTTGATATGAAAGTTAAAGGCTTAAATATAGTGGAAGCAACTTAAATATCTCATTCACAACTAATGAGAGATGTTTGGGGACAGAGGGACAGAGCTGGAGACCCCTGTTGGTGTCCCTGATCCCACATTGCCTGCCGATAAGCTAATGGCTGAGATCCTCAGCTTGGCTATTAAAATATCTAAATGTTTACCTTGCCCATATTATAAGGCCGTTGTAAATTAAATGAAAATATTTATAAATTGTATACTATGCTGTTGTATTTATGGATAACTTGATGGAATTTGCCAGAAACTTTGTAGGGGGTAATATGGAATGTGAAGTTAAAAGGATTACAGTTCCTGACCTTATGAAACTTAGAATTTAGTAATATCTCTTTAGAGAAGAGGGAAAAACAACAAAGACAAAAATCTGGCTTTTTTTTTTTCTCAAACGCTGGAATTTGTTTTTCAACTTGAAACAACTGAGTGCATTTCTCTCTGATTCCTGTCTATTTCCATTAGCTCTAGTTTGCTTTTTTCCTTTGCCTGTTTTTGAAGCATATCATACTAGATTGTATTTCCAGCAGCATTCAGGAGCTGCTCTTGGTCTGGGGTGTAGCTCAATGGTAGAGTTGACATGAGCCCTGCCCTGGGTTCAGTCCTCACCTGTCCTCCCTACTCTGGTGGGGGGGAACCTTTGATATAAAATTTGAAAGCTTAAATATAGTGGAAGCAACCAAAATGTCTGTTAGTTGTTGCATGATAAACCAAATGTGGAATATGCATACAATGGGATATTAGTCTTCAAAAGGGAGGAAGTTCTGGGGCTGGGGAGTGGCTCAAGCGGTAGAGCGCTCGCCAGTCATGCGTGCGGCCCGGTTCAATCCTCAGCAACACATACAAACAAAGATGTTGTGTCCGCCGAAAACTAAAAATAAATATTAAAAAAATTTCTCTCTTTCTCTCCTCTATCTCTCTCTCTCTCTTTAAAAAAAAAATAAATAAAAAAATAAAGGTCCATTAGAGAAAAAGCATCATTGTAGGGATTTTACTTTGAAAAGGAAATCCAGAACTGGGTCTACAGCTCAGTGACACAGCATTTGCCTAGTAGGCCTGAGAGGCCCTGCCTGTGTTCCAGTCTCAGTATTATAAAAACAAGAAACAAAACAAAAAACATAAAAGAGGGGCTGGGGGCGTAGGCCAGTAGTAGAGCACTTGCCTAGCATGCATAAGGCCCTGTTGGGTTCAATCCCCAATAAAACACCACACACACACACACACACACACACACACACACACACTACAAAAGAAAAGTCTGTTTCAGCCGTGTTGTATTCTTAGCCTTCTAAATGACTGGGATTTTTGGTACATGACAGGCCGCCCCCCACCTCAGAGGTCTTGGGCAATCACCTGGTTCAGTTTATGCCTTCAGGTATGTATGATATCATCCCAAGTTGCAGATGAGGTGACCCTGGTGCCCAGAGAGGTTAAGAAGTTTGCCTCAATTCCACAGCAAGTGGCAGAGTGGTGGCCAGCACTCTGTCTCCCAGGACCTATGTTCTGTATCCTGCTGTGTGCTTTATGGAACTTTGGGGTCACCATTTTCTACTAAATTATAGTTAAAAATATTAGATGGCCTAATTATTGTGCAAACATTCTTTGAGTGTCCCAGACAGTTTCTTATCTGGATAAAGGTGTGTGATCAAAAACCTTTCAGGGGGAGATATGCTGTTTATCTGAGATCAAGGCCTGGACTCCAAAGGAATCTGAGCCTTTGATCAGGACAAACTGATGAAGCTCACTAGATCTCAGATTCCTAATCTGTTTAAAAACATGCCCAACTCAAAATGTTTTTGTGAGAGTTCAATGAGGTTGTTTATGAATGCATCGTGTATGGTATAAAGTAGTGTCTTGGGGTTCTCTGGGTCTTGGGAGGTTTTTAAGATCAAAATGAGTTCCATCGTAACACAAAGGTTTTACTTACCTTCTTGACTGTCTCTCACAGGTATAATACGGTGGTATGTCCAAAGGCTGTGAGATGTGGGATATTTATAACAGATTGAATGCAGAAAATATGAGATATTCAACTGGCTTCTGATGGGCCAGGTATTCAAGGTTTGCAAAAATATTAAATAAACTCTTCTCATTTATTTTTTGATCAGAAGGTAGCTACTTTTCATAAAACTGTCTTATGTTTAAATGGAATGTGTTGTTAGGTATCTTTTAGGTTAATAAAATTTAAAAATAGTGTTTTCAGTTTTGCTGGGTATGGTAGCACACAACTGTAATTCCAGCAACTCTGGTGGCTTGAGGATGATTTCAAGTTCAAGGTCAACCTCAGCAACTTAGCCAGATCCTGTCAAAAAAAAAGACAGGGTATAGCTTGTTCAGTGGTAGAGTACTCCTGGGTTTAATTCCCAGTACCACCAAAAAAAAAAAAAAAATTCAGTTTGAATTTCCCATGTGATAAATATTGTTAGTTATAAGTACATAAACAAAAGCTCTTTGAGGTTCTTATGAAATTTTCAGAGTATAAGGTCAAAAAGTTTGAAAATTACTGATATAAAATAGTGTACAAAATAGCAGATATTTTTACTTTGCATCATTGATTTAAGAAGAAAGTATCACATGATTAAAAGGGATGCAGGCATCTTATAGAACACTTCAAAAATTATAGATATATCCAGTGACTTGGGAAGGCTGAGGCAGGAAGATAGCAAGTTCAAGGCCAGCCTCAGCAACTTAGGGAGACCCTCAACTACTTAGTGAAACTCTGTCTCAAAATAAAAAATAAAAAGGGCTTAGGATGTGGCTCAGTCGCAAAGCAGCCCTGGGTTCAATCTCCACCCCCCCCCCCCCAAAAAAAAATAGAAAAAGAAAAAGGAGTCAAATATTATAATACAAAGAATGACTATTGCCTTTGTTGTTGTTGTTTTTTCCCCCACATACTGAGGGGTGCTTTACCTCTGAACCACATCCCCCAGCCCTTTTTATTTTTTATTTTGAGACAGGGTCTCAGTAAATTGCTCAGAGCCTCTAAGTTGCTATGGTTGACTTTGAACTTGTGATCCTCCTACCTCAGCCTTCTGGGCCACTGGGATTACAGACAGCACCACCACACCCAACAACTGTTGCCGTTTTTGATATATTTTTCTCAGTGGTATTTATTGTAAATACAGAGCCTGTGTCTTTTTCAGTCTACAAAGCTATCTTGTGGTAGCATTAGGACTTTTAACTATATTTTGCTGGCCTTTGAACTAGGTGCTGACGTTAACTCTGCTCCAGTTATTTCCGGTTTGTGTAGTTTTTAGATGTTGTCTCATATGTGGTCTTCATGTCTTGTACCATCCGCTCTCTTTTCTTCTCTTCTAGCCCTCCTTGGTGATGTTGGCTGCTAAGGTCTCAATGGCCTGCTGCCCCTGGCAAGCCTTCCCCTTTGGGCTCGGCTGAGTGTTTCCATTACCAATGAGAGGGAGCTCTTGAGGTATGGAAGGGGTATATGCTGTATGTGCTAGAATCAGCCCTGGGTGCCCCCAGGCCTTGTTGTGGGCAGGGCCTCCCTCTCCTTGAGTGATGTTTTGCTGTTTTTGAATTTTTTTTTTTAAAGAGAGAGAGAGAGAGAGAGAGAGAGAGAGAAAGGAGAGAAATAATTTTAATATTTATTTTTTAGTTTTCGGCGGACACAACATTTTTGTTTGTATGTGGTGCTGAGGATCAACCCGGGCTGCACACATGCCAGGCGAGCGCGCTACAGCTTGAGCCACATCCCCAGCCCATGTTTTTGAGTTTTGATGATACACAATTTTATGAAAGTATTTTTTCCTCTCCCCCCTCACCCCATTTTGATTCCTACCATCTTTCTAAACCTGAGATATGAGCCTAGGCAGGGTTGGAAATGGGACAGTTTATATTCAGAGGGGCTGAATACCATCAGAAACAACCTCTCTGGTGGCCTAGGCTTAGTACCTAATATGGTGGAACCAACCCAAAAGTCCATGGATAGATAAATGGGTAAAGAAAATGTGTCAGATACATTCAATGGGATAGTTTATTCACTGTTAAAAAGGAGGGAAATTCTGGTACATACTACAACATGGATGAACCTTGAGGATATCATGCTAAGTGAAATAAGCCGGTTATAGATAGACGTATACTATATGGTTCCACTTACATGAAAAACACCTGGAATAGTCAAATCATAAAGACAAAGAGTAGAATGGTGGCTGCCAGGGATGGAGGGAGGGAAGGGGAGGTATTGTTTAGTTTTGCAAGATGAAAAGAGTTCTGGAGATGGATGATAGTGATGGTTGCACAACAGGGTGAATGTAGTTAATATTACTGAACTGTACCAAGTCCAGCAGCAATGCTCAAATATTTTAGTCTTAAAGAGATTTTGTTTATGTGGCTATATTTATTAATATTTATCATATTAGAAGTTAGAACTAAAATATATTTTGAAATATTTATGGATTAACCTAAAGTAATAGTAACATCCCATTACATTTAAACATTTGTATGAAAAATAACCATGGACCTTACTCCACTGTGGAAGTGGTGGGATCATAAAACCCTTTTTGTTGTTGTTGTTGTTTTGTTTTGGTACTGGGGATTGAACTGAGGGGTCTTTACCACTGAACCACATCCCCAGCCCTTTTTATTTTTTATTTTGAAACAAGGTTTTACTAAGTTGCTTTAGGCTGGCCTCAAACTTACTATCCTCCTGCCTCAGCCTCCTAAGATATGATATGTAGCCCTGGGGTATGAGTCTAAGCATGGCTAGAGATGAAACAGTTTATATTCAGAGTATAATCTGAATATTATCAGAAACAGCCCTTCTTTCTGATGGCCTAAGCTTAGTACTTAATACAGCGGAACCAACTCAGATGTCCACGGATAGATAGATGGATAAAGAAAATGTGTTACATACATTCAATGGGATTTATTTATTTTTTTATTTATATTTTTTTGGTACTAGGGATTGAACACAGGTGCTCAACCACTGAACCACATACCCAGCCTTTTTTATTTTGAGCAGGGTCTCACTATGTTGCTTCAGGCTTCAATAAATTTCTGAGGCTGGCTTTGAACTTGTGATTCTCTTGCATCAGCCTCCCAAACTTACAAGTGTGCGTCACCGTGTCCAGCTTCAATAGGATATTTTATTCCGCCTTAAGAAGGAGGGAAATTCTGGCACATGTTACAACATGGATGATCCTTGAGGGCTTTATGCTAAGTGCAATAGGCCACCATGCCTTGCTTCGTAATTCTGATTTGTTTGATCATATTTCACAAATTTAAAAGAAGTTGAAATCGGGCATGGTGGTGCATGCCTGTAATCCCAGCAGCTCAGGAGACTGAGACAGGAGGATGTGAGTTCAAAGCCAGCCTCAGCAAAAGCGAGGCTCTAAGCAACTCAGTGAGACCCTGCCTCTAAATAAAATAAAAAATAAGGCTGGGGATGTGGCTCAGTGGTCGAGTGCCCCTGAGTTCAATCCCTGGTACCCCCTGAAAAAGAGAAATTGATGTTGATTTCCCAGTTTGCAAAATTACTTAAAAAGTGGAACGATTTTCTCAAAATTCTGACTTTAGACACACGTTTTATTAACCTATAGGACATGACATCCTGTGGCTTATCTTTTAGCGCAAAATAGAAGGACAGTAAAGTATTTTAGGAAATTGGAAAAACTCTATAAATGTGAGAGTTTTTTAAAAATTTTTTTCATTTTTTTAGGAGTTGACAACGGGTCCCTGGTGTTGATTTTGATATTACATATGTTAGTCATTGTGTCTGTTAGTGAAACAGTCTCAAGTCTCATAAGTATATTTGTGTGTGTGGTGCTGAAGACCAAAGCAGGGCTTCACGCATGTCTAGGCAGGTACTCTACCTAACTACATCCCCAACTCTCAAGCCTTAGAATTAAAGTAAGTGTTTTTAAAATGGCATAGAATGTTCCAAAGAGGACCATGACCTTCAGGGGCTTCCCCACTGAACAACCAACCAGGGACATCAGCACTCAATCCAGTTGGTCTCATTTGCTAGAGACTTAGAAGAGAACACAGGCAAGCCTCCTCTTTCTCAGGAGAGAAGCAGCTCAGAATCTAAGTTAAGATGATACAGTTTGGTTTTTAGGACTAAAAGTATATTATATTAACTTTTGAGAAATTCCACATAGAAGCCACAATTGGCTTAGAATTTGAGAAATGAAATTCTAAGGGAAACACCCAAAGTTCAGTTGGAAAAGTGGTCTCTGAGAGGTCTGCTATGGCAAGCTCCTGCTGAATAAGTGTCTAACAGGTGGACAGTGACTGTCCTCTGTGTCCTAGACACCAATTCAGGTGAGACTTTACCAGGCATTTTCTGATTTTAAGGCATGTCCTCTAAGTCACTTTGAGAAGCGTAAATGGAAAAGACAGTAGGTTTACTTTGAAGTATGGGCTAGATTCAGGCTTACCTAGACTAGGGAGACGGGAAATGTGCTAGCAGATCTCTGACTGACAGGGGTGAGTTGAAGACACCCCGTTCCAAGCATTGAAGAAATAAAGGGTATTTGTTGGGTCACCTAGTGGGAGAGGAGCATGTTGGAGCTGGCCTCGGGCCTATGTCCAGGCCTCTCTCCTTCCCCTCCCCCATTGTCCATTCCTTTCCTCTTGCTGGCTTCATACTCTTAGATCCTGCCGGGTGGCAGGAGAGATGACCATCAGCAAGTCTGAGGTCAGGCTGAACATCTGAGATGAAAGCACCATTCCCCCCACCTCTAATTTAAAAAATTCCAAGGAATGACTAGGCAAGCTAGGTCCTATGCCAGAAGGGACAGAAAGTTCCAATGGATAGCTTTGGGGGGGTAAAACAGTTTCCTAAAATAGGTAAGGTAAGGAGGCAGGAGAGCCACGGCCAACCAGAAGGGATCACAATGTTAGACAGGTTTATTCTACCATGAAGGGAATTATTGTTGTTGTTGTTGTTGTTAGTGTGATGCTGGGGATTGAACTTGGGGCTCTGCACATGCTAGATAGTCACTCTACCACTCAGCTCCATCCCCAGCAGAGGAAATGTTTTTGACGTGGTTCTTCTTAGTTGATGTTTCTCCTTTGACCAGTGTCAGTTTGCTGATGTGAAGAGGTTGGTCATATATATATATATATATATATATATATATATATATATATATATATATATATATTTTAAGATCAAGTTATTTAACTCTTCTGTGCCTCAGTTTCCTCTTCCTCATTTCATACTAAAATCATTTAATAATATTGTATTTCATAAGGTGGTTGTGATAATTAAATATTGGGAACAATGCCTAATAAATGATCAGTGTTAAATAAAAGTTTACATCAGAGGGACCAAGCAAATGCAGGGAACTAAGGCCTGGAACATCTCTTGAGATAAAAGAGAAACCAGGAGGATACACTGAGCTGTACGTGTGGAAGTTCTTCCATCAGGTAGAGCTAGGTGTGAGAAGCTATGAGTTGGAATCCACGGGTGGTACTGGAGGCAAACCCCGCAGCATACAGGGTGTGTTGTAGTCATCCTGAACCAGAAGCCATATTCTGCTACCTCCTCCCTAGCCCCTGTGAACATTTGGAATTTGGAGGTAGTGGATTATGGTTAACACTGACTGGGATGTTGTGGTACCTAGTGCCTGAGGATCCCGGGAATGGGACATTCTACACATAGAAGAATTATCCTGCCTAGAACATCATTACTAAAGGAAGACACTGGAATGATCTGGGGAGGCAGGCCTCCAAGTGACAGGGAATGAAGAGCACAGATACTGAGAAGTTTCAGCATAAGTGATTGAGCTCAGTCACCAAGCATCTGGACCTCTAGCCCCCTAGCTTGTTGCAGGATTCCTATCTCCAGGGAGAGGACAGAGATTGGAAAGAGACACATGGAGCTATGAATATGTAAGAATCAAGACCAAGACTCCAGTGACCAGCACAGGGCTCTCTTTGCAGAACCAAAGTCAGCAAACGAGTCTGAGTTCAACCCCAGTTCTGCCAACCCTGCGATGGTATTTCTCTGATCCTTACTATCAAGTGTGATAACACAAGAGAGACCCTTAGCACCTGACACACTGTGCATATTCAATCAAGGGAAGCTGCTATGACTTCTGTTGTTATCAATAACATTGACAGAGAGCCAATGAGGAGAGCTCAGAATTGAATAAGTCAGGACCTCAGCTTTAAGAAAGCAAAAGGACTATTAGCAGCCTGGGACAAAGCGTCACCGCTCAAGAGTGTGGAGAGAGTTCTTGTTCCCTCCTGTGTCAGAGGAGGGTTGGTTCTTGGGACAAGGATACCTCTAATGCTGCAGCTGGAATCCAGCAGGTCTTCCTGTGAGGAGAAAGAGGAACATGGAAGAGGAAACTTCACCATGAAGGAACAGCATTCTAGCTGGGAAGCCAGGACTAACACTCTCTAACAACTAAAAGCAATAACATGTACAGTAGGATTGCTACTATACATATAATGTCTGTT